CCTGAGTCTCCTGGGCCCGTGCTCCGTGAGGCACCACCCTGCGAGCTTTGAGCTGCACTGTGACCTGGCCTCACCCCAGGGCCTCTCCCTTTGCAGGTGGGAAGAGAACTCTGACCCTTGACCTATAGAACCTCCTCCTTCATGCTCACATGCGAAACAAAGCAAGCAAACAAATGCAAGGGCAACAGCAAATGAACAGTAACAAAGCTGGAAATGTTGGCGAAAGTGCTCCCCCAAGTGAGTCCTGATAATACCTGAGACATAAGGGGTGGCAGCCTGGGCCAGCAGCAGAGTTGGACTCGCAGCTGGAAGGAGCTTCTTTGGGTCTGCCACCAGCCAGACCAAGCACCTGGACTCTACATGCGCAGAGGAAGGACGGCTGTGCCACAAGAAGCTGACACCCAGGCACACACCCCAGGCAGAGCTTGAAGGATTCGGTCTCAGCCTCCCTTCCCACCCTATGATCTCTGTGGGTGCCCCGGAGGGCTGGACTCAAAGGAGAGCTCCTTCCTGCTTATTTATTTGTTTGTTTATTTTTTAAGTAGGCTCCACGCCCAATGTGGGGATTAAACTCACGACCCTGAGATCAAGAGTCATGTGCTCTATCAACTGAGCCAGCCAAGCGCCCCCCTCTTCCTGCTCTTCTATTTTATTTTAATGTTTTTTAAGATTTTATTTATTTTATTTTAGAGTGAGTGTGCACACGAGTGGGGGGAGGGGCAGAAGGAGAGGGAGGGAATCTGAAGCAGACCCCACGCTGAGCACAGAGCCTCATGCGGGGCTTGGTCCCACCACCCTTAGATCATCACCAGAGTCGAAACCAAGAATTGGACATTCAACCGACTGAGCCACCCAGTTGCTCCTCTTCCTGCTTTTTTAAAATTAAACTTTTTATTGTGAGATCACTGCAGACATTCGTTCAATTCTAAGAAGCACTACAGAGAGATCCTGTCTACCATTTTCTGTTTTCCCAAGAATAATACCTTGCAAAACCATAGTGTAGTATCAACCGGGATACTGATGTATCAACATTGATACAAGCCACCGCTCCTACTCAGGTTTCCCCAAATTTACATCTGCTCACTTGTGCCTGTGTGTGCATTTAGATGCATGGGTTCTGTCATGAGCGTAGGTTAGTGTGTCCACCACCACAGTCAAGATACAGACACCCATCACCACCAGGGTCTCTTCTTTTATAACCACACCCACCTCCCCCCAACAGCTCGTCCATTCCTGTTCTGTAATTTTCCATTTCAAGAATGTTATATAAATGGAATTATACAGTGTGTAACCTTCTGGGATTGGCTTTTCTCACCCAGTGTAATTCTCTGGAGGTCCGTCCAAGTTGTTGTGCATATCAATAATTCCTTATTTTTCTTTATCACTCAGTAGTATTTTGTTAAAGAGATTTTACAAGAAGTTTTAAAGTTTTAAAGACCACTTGTCACCTTTCAGATGAAGGGAGAGCTGCCCTGCTGAAGTCCGTGGCACTCAAACAGAAAGAAATGCTATGTATCTCCAAAATCTTAAAAATCCTATAAAATGATACTTGCTTATTGTGCCTTTCTTAGGAAACTAACTTAATCCTGATTATGCAAAGCTTCAGTTAAACTTACCACCTCTTATTTTACCGCAATTAAATAATCTCTCCCCAAATATACTGAAAGTTACAAGTCATCTTTATTATTTCTCTTTAAAGTTATTTATACACAGACTATAACTCGCATCTATTTCTATTTCCCTTTTCCCCTTGGCGAAAATACTGTACATTTGTCTCTTATAGTGGCTTGTTTTTTACTGTGGTACTGCTGTAATATATGATCTTTAGTTTATTAGTTTATGCCTTATATTAAATTATGTTCATATAAGATTTGCAAGAAAAATGGCTTTTCATTTTATTTGGGAACTTGGGTGGACTTAATTTTGGGAGGTTGATTTTCAAGAATGAAATAGGTCTGAAAGGTAAAGGGTCAGAGGGAAAAACAGAGAGAGGCACCGGGAACACCTGGCTTTGCCCTCCCCAAAGATTCAGGGTACCTGAGACACTGTTTCCATCAGAGTACAGGGGCGTGGTCAGGGCAGCTCAAGAGAAGGGCTGTCAGTTGTTAAGGACCCGCCGAGGAGGACTGAACATGGACCCAAAGCCCACAGGGACTCTCCAAGTCCCCCCCCCCAGGACCCCAGACCCCCCTCCAGGCCCCTGACCCTCTCCCAGCATCTGTTCACTCAATGTCTTCTCCAGAGGTATAGGTGCAGCTGGTCACTGCCCTGCCTCCGCTCTGGGGTCCTCTGTTCAGATTCTGGCTCAGACACACTCTGCACCCCAGGATTGAGAAGCTAACTGCCTCTGCCCCCTGGGGTGGGGTCCCCATAGATCTCACCCAGCTTGTAGACTGATTGTGTGTGATTTAGGTGCCCACTTCTCAGCCAGTCTGCTCGGCTGGGGGCTGAGGGTTGGATGGGAGGAGTCAAGGTCCCTCCAAGAAGCAAAGGCCCTGGTGACAGGGCTGTGGATATCCAGGCCAGCAACACTGCCAATACAGGGTGTCACCTTGGTGACTGTCACCACACTGACAGGTGTTCTCATCAGTGTTGCATGGCAGGTAGGGAGACTGAGGCAGAAGAGAGGTGCACAGTGAGGTGGTGGCCCCAGAGGCCTATAGTCCTTATTTACTGTTTCAACCACAAATACTGATGAAGTTTCTGGGAGCAGGGAATTTGTTGCTGCTCTGTCCCCTAGGGCTGGGCCTCATAGGTAATACGTGCTCAGTAAATGCTGTTGAATGAGTAAACAAAGAACACTGGACTCCACCCATAGTTCCACTCCTGTGTACATACGCCCAACAGAATGAGGGCACGTGACCCCAGCAGACCACAATGGCCAGAGTGTGTGACTCACAGCAGTCGAAATGGAAACAACGCAGACGTCCATCAGCACTAGATAAGGTAAGTGAGCTGGGACAAGCACACACAGTAGAGTGCCATATAATAATGGGATAAGACGAACCACACTGCAGATGACCACACAGGTGAATCTCAAAGGCATAATGCTGGGCGAAAGAAGTCAGGCTCAGAGTGTTTATGTTGACAAGTCCGTCTAGTGACGTCCAGAGCAAGCAGCACTAGTTGATGGTGATGGAGGTCAGAACATGGGTTTCCTCTAGGGTAGAAGCCAGTGGACGGGCAATGAGGAGGCTTTCAGGGGCTGCAGATGCTCAATATGATTAGGGAGGAGTGACACAGATGTACACATATGTTAAAATTCACTAAGCTGTATGTTTAAGTTGTGTACTTCACTGTATAACTTATACCTAAATTTCAAATAGTTATGGGTTTCAGGGACCTCACACCCACAAGAATCCTAAATACAAGAGGAAAGGAGGATATCCTATAAAAGGGGTCTTGGGAAATCTTGCTTGGGTTTTCCAGTGCTGTTCTTATTTAACAGGGTCTTAGATTCGTGGGCCAAAAGTTCTAAGCAATCATCTGCTAGTGTCCCCTTCCTCACAGGCTGGGGATCAGGTGATGAGTGTGACCTGAGGGCTGTGCAAGACCCCCCTTGGAAGATCTGGGACTCATGATCCCAAGGCCTGCCAGGATGCAGCCGACTTGGCCATAGAGAGGCCCACTGGCAACATGTGCCAGGACAAGGGGGCGCTTAGCCCTTTTGAGGAGGATCCTGGGCTAGAGTAGGGTGTTTGAGGCTAAAATCAAAGCAACCAGAAAAGCTTCAAACAAATAGAGCTTTCTGAAGAGGACGTGAGACTTCCCTCAGAAGGTGCATACTGAGGCTAAAGTCTGTGTCTCCCTAAATATCACACGAGAGTCATTCCCCTTCATGCCATAAAACAGCCATGTGTAGGTTAGACCACAGACCCTAGAGGGAACAAGACAGGTGTTCATCAGATTCACGTGCAGTGAACCAGAGAGTGATCTTGTGTGGTGAGTCCCCTGCCAGCTAACTGCATGAAAACTGTTCCATGTATCGATGCACAGCTGAATAACAAACATGTTCTCTACACACACTGAAATATTATTCAGCCACAAAAAGGAGTGGAGTCTTGATTTGTGCTACCGCGCGGATGGACCTTGAAATCATTATGCTCAGTGAGAGAAATCAAACACAAAGGGACACATCTTGTGTGATTTCATTTAACAAAATGTTCAGAACAGGCAAACCCATAGAGACAGAAGGTAGTTTAGTGGGTGCGAGGGGCTGAGGGGTTAGGAATGAGGAGTAACTGCTCGATGGGTACGGGGTCTCCTTCTGGAATGATGGAAATATTTTGGAATTAGATGGAGGTTGTTGTTGTACAACATTATGAATGTACTAGATGCCATTAAATTGTTCAGTTTAAAATGGCACATTTTGTGTTATGTGAATTTCACCTCAATGAAAAAAACCTGTTTTATAAAAATCTTTACAGTATTCAGCCATTTGTTCTTTCACTGAATCCATTCATTCGTTCAGTCTATACCTGTGTACTTTTCATGTGCCAGCCACATGCCAGGAGCAGGCACTACAGTGCTGAACTTATAATTCAGCATGATGGTTCTCAACCTGTTGAGATGTTTAAAATACAGAGGCCTGGGTTGCAATCCTGGAAATTCCCAATGCATTAGGCTGAGATGGGGCCTTGGCATCTCAATATTTTAAACACCCACAGTAATTCGGACAACCAGCCCGGTGTGTAAGTGATTGAGACAACCTCGAACCACGCCCATGCAAAGCCCGACTTGGGTTTGGAAACATTTTCAGCCAACACAGGCATGCCACACTCTGAAAATAAGGTTAAGTTGCTGTGTGTCATGCACAGGAACATCAAGCCTGGCTCAGTTTCTTCATCCCTCTGGGGTCTGGCCAGGCCAGTCTGGATTGGTGTCATGCTTGCCTCTGACCACTTGGTGGCAGGAGCAAAATGGGTTTGATTTCCTGGTGCGTTAGCTAGAAGATGTAGCTCTACTTCTCCAGTGTCTTTTTTTTTTTTTTTTCCCTTGGGGGAAAATGAGATTTAAAACCAACAATAATTTTTCAAAACAACCTGGAAAACATCAGGATGAGCTGTTTCCGTCAAGGAGGGCATTCCGGAAGCCTCTATGTCACAGCACCTAACTATAAGCTGCCAGTTGACAAGGTTGCACAACAGCTCCATCCTGGAAGATGGGGCAGCTGGTGGTCCTCCTCCCATTAAGAGTTAGGTTTTTGCCTCTGGTTTTCCACCGATCAAATCTCCAAATCCCAGTTTTTCCAGGGGTTCCTGTGCCATCAGCTGCCTCTCCATCCTGCATTCTAAATAGGCTTTTGATTCCTTTCTGCACAAAGCGTTTTCAAACTTATTGTCGCGGAGGCACTTCATGAATTTCTCTTTGAAGCTTTTACATTCACCGAAGTGATCCAGCGGGAAGCTGCCCTTCTCCGGGGCCCGCGGCTGGAAGCTCTTGGACCCAAAATTCATGGCGGTCGACATCTTGGCGAGCCCCCTCTACTTCTCCAGTGTCTTGCAGGAGCATGTAAAATGGAAAATCAACCCTGATAGAAGAAAATGAGGAATGATAGTCTCGAAGAATAAGTAGTTTAGTCCTTAAGATTTAGCAGGCCAAACATCTATTTCTGAAGTAGCAGTGTGGTCACCCTGGATTGTGGTGCTCTAAGTCTCGGCAGATTAACAGAGGAGGTGACATTTGAACTGAGTTGACTGAAAGATGGCATGCAGAACCAAATGGCAAGATGAAAAAAAAAAAGTGAGACAGAAATGAAGTACTGATGTGCATTACGTGAGCAAACTTCAGAAACATCATGCCTAGTGAAAGGAGCCAGTCACCAAAGAACACGCACGGCGAGTCCATTCGCACGGGCCCAGAGACAGAAAGCGGATCAGTGGTTGCCAGGGGCTGGGGGACCTGGGGATTATGGGTGGCGACTGCTAGTGGGTAGGGGGTTTCTGTTTAGATCATGACAATGTGCTGGAGTTAGCAGCAGTGATGGCTGCACAGCCTTGTGAATATACATAAATCCCTGAATTGCACAGTTTAAGTGAGCAGGTTGCATGGTTTGTGACTTACATCTCCATAAACGAACATTTTATAAACGAACATTTATTGAGCATTTCTGTGTGCCAGAGTGTGCCACATTCAAGTGGGAAACACGTCCAGTGCATAAGATGAAGAAGTAAGGGGATGGTATGTTACATGGTAGGAAGTAGTAGAGGTAAAATAAGGGGATACAGGGAATACTTGCACTGGCAGTGATCACAGGGAGGGCAATGAAGGTTGGCCTCGCTGAGAACACAGATTTTTTTAAATTGTGGTAAAATACACATAACATAAAATTTACCATCTTGGGGCACCTGGCTGCCTCGGTTGGTTAAGCATCTGCCTTCAGCTTAGGTCATGATCCCAGGGTCCTTTGCGGATCCCAGTCCTCCTTGCTTGTGTTCTCTCTCTCAAATAAATAAAAAAGATTTTTTTTATTTATTTGAGAGAGAGAGAGAGAGAGAGAGAAGGAGCAGGGGCAGGGGCAGAGGGAGAGGGAGAAGCAGACCCCCTGCTGATCAGGGAGCTCGATATAGGGCTCCATCCTAGGACCCTGGGATCATGACCTGAGCCCAACTGACCGAGCCACCCAGGTACCCCTAAATAAAAAAATCTTTAAAAAAATTTTCCATCTTGGGCGCCTGGGTGGCTCAGTCGGTTAAGCGACTGCCTTCAGCTCAGGTCATGATCCTGAAGTCCCGGGATCGAGTCCTGCATCGGGCTCCCTGCTCGGCGGGGAGTCTGCTTCTCCCTCTGACCCTCTTCCTTCTCGTGCTTTCTATCTCTCATTCTCTCTCTCAAATAAATAAATAAAATCTTTAAAAATAAATAAATAAAAAAAATAAAAAAAATAAAAAAATTTTCCATCTTGGGCGCCTGGGTGGCTCAGTCGGTTAAGTGACTGCCTTCAGCTCAGGTCATGATCCTGGAGTCCCGGGATCGAGTCCTGCATCGGGCTCCCTGCTCAGCGAGGAGCCTGCTTCTCACTCTGACCCTCCCCCCTCTCATGTGTTCTCTCTCTCTCTCTCTCTCATTCTCACTCTCTCAAAAAAATAAATAAATCTTAAAATGTTTCCATCTTACCTATTTTTAGGTATAAGTTCAGTGGTATCATATACATTCATAACGTTATACAACTACCACAACCAACCACCTCCAGAACTCTTTTCATAAGGAAACTACACCTGTTAAACTATCCCCTCCCTGCCCCCCCAGCCCCTGGTAACCATTCTACTTTCTGTGATTTGACTCCTCTGGGTATTTACTTATAAGCACTCATATAAGTGGAACCTTACTGTGTTTGTCTTTTTGTCACTGGCTTATGTCACTTAGCAAAATGTCCTCAAGAGTCATCCATGTTGTAGCAGGTGTCAGAACTTCCTTCCTTTTAAAGATGAAAGACATTTCATTGTACGGATGGATCAATTTACTTATCCATTCACTTGTTGATGGGCACTCGGGTTGCTTCCTTCTCTTGGCCATCATCAATAACACTGCTATGAACATGGTTGTGCAAATACCTCTTTGAGATGCTGCTTCTGATTCTTTTGAGTATATAGCCAAAAGTGGAATTTCTGGGTCAGATGGTAATTTTAATTTTCTGAGGCACCACCATACAGTTTTCCACAGTGGTAGTACCATTTTACATTCCCACCAACAGTGTACAAGTGTTCTAATTTCTCCACATCCTCGCCAACATGTTATTTCCTTTTTTTAATTTAAATTTTATTTTTTAAAACATTTATTTATTTAAGTAATCTCTATACCCAACATGGGGCTTGAACTCAGGACCCTGAGATCAAGAGTCATGTGCTCCACTGACTGAGCCAGCCAGGCACCCTTCTTCTCTCGCTCTTTTTTAAAAAAAATAGTAGTCATCCTAACATGTGTGAAGTGGTATCTCCTTGTGGTTTTGATCTGCATCTCCCTGATGATGAGTGATGCTGAGCACCTTTTTGTATGCTTATGGACCATCTATACATCTTTTTTAGAGAAATGTTTATTCAAGTTCTTTGCCCATTTTTAAATCAGGTTGTTTGGGTTTTTTGTTGTAGAGTTTTAGAAGTTCTATCTGTTCTGGATATTAACCCCTCCTCAGATATATTTTCTGTAGGTTGCTTTTTTGCTCTATAATATTCTCTTCTGAAGCACGAAATTTTCAATTCCCATGAAGTCTGATTTCTCTATTTGTTCTCTTGTTGCCTGGGCTTTTGGTGTCCGATCCAAGAATTCATCACCAAACCCAATGCTATGAAGCTTTGACCCAAAGTTTTCTTCCAAGAGTTTCATAGTTTCAGGTTTTCCATCACAATCTTTGATCCATTTTGAGTGAATTTTCATATATGATGTTATATGAGAGTCCAACTTTATTCTTTTGAATGTGGATGTCCAGTGTCCCCAGCACCATTTCTTGAAAAAACTATCCTTTCCCCATTGAACGGTCTTGGCACTCTTGTCAAACATCATTTGACCATATGTGCAAGACTATTTCTGGGCTCTTCTACATTCTATTCCATTGCTCTGTATGTCTCTTTATGCCAGTACACACCATGTTGATGACTGTAGCTTTATAGTGAGTTTTGAAATCAGGAAGCATGAGTCCTCTGGCTTTGTTCTTCCAAGATTGCTTTGGCTATTTGGAGTCCCTTGAGACTCCATATGAATTTTAGGATGAATTTTTCCATTTTTGCAGAAAACATCATCGTAAAAAGGACTGCACTGACTCTTTAGATCACTTTGGATAGTACTGACAGCTTAACAAGTTTAAGTCTTTCAATTTATGAACATAGGCTATCCTTCTGTTTATTTATGTCTTCCTTAATTTCTTTCAGCAGTGTTTTGTAGTCCTCAATGTACTTCTTTCACCCCTTTGATTAAATTAATTTCTAAATATTTTATTATTTTGATGCTATTCATTCATAACGTTATACAACTACCACAACCATCCACCTCCAGAACTGGAGGTGGAATTCTTTTTGTAATTTCCTTTTCAGATTATTCACAGTTAGTGTATAGAAATGCAACTCATTTTTGTGTGCTGACTTTGCATCCTGCTATTTTGCTGATTTTATTTATTATAACAGGTGTTTTGTTTTTTTTTTTGATGGGACTCTCGAGGATTTTCTACATATTAAGTCATATCATCTGCAAACAGATAATTTTACTTCTCTCTTTCCAATTTGGATGCCTATCAATTTTTCTTGTCTGATTGTTATGAGTAGAACTTCCAGTATATGTTGAAAAGAGGCAGCAAAAGTGAACATCCCTGCCTTGTTCCAGATCTTAAAGGAAAATCTTTCACTTTTTCAGTATTGGATACAATGTTTGCTGTGGGTTTTGCACACAGGAATTTTATTAAATTGTATTATGAGATAGTTTCCTTCTATTCCTAGTTTGTCAAGTATTTTTTATCATGAAAGAGTGTTGAGTTTGGTCAAATGCCTTTTTCATCAACTGAGATGATCATTTCTTTTCTCTTCATTCTGTAAACGTGATGCATTATACTTATTGATTTTTCTATGCTGAACAATCCTTACATTCCAGAAATAAATCCCTCTTGGTCATGGCATATAATCCTTTTAATGTTTTGCTGAATTTTATTTGTTGTATTTTTTATTTAAATTCAATTAATTAATATATAACATATTATTCATTTCAGAGGTAGAGTTCAGTGATTCATTAGTCTTATATAACACCCAGTGCTCATTACATCACATGTCCCCCTAATGTCATCACCCAGTTACCCCATGCCCGAACTCTCTCCCCTCCAGCAACCCTATTTGTTTCCTATGATTAAGAGTCTCTTATGGTTTGTCTCCCTCCCTGATTTCTTGTTTTATTTTTCCCTCCCTTCCCCCATGCTCCTCTGTTTTCTTTCTTAAATTCCACATTATGAGTGAAATCATAGGATAATTTTCTTTCTCTGATTGAATTATTTCGTTTAGCATAATACCTTCTAGTTCCATCCACGTTAATTGCAAATGGCAAGATTTCATTTTTTGATGGCTGAGTAATATTCCATTGTATATATATACTACATCTTTATCCATTTATCTGTTGATGGACATCCGGGCTCTTTCCAGAGTTTGGCTATGGTGGACACTGCTGCTATAAACACAGAGGTACATGTGCCCCTTTGGATCACCACATTTGTATCTTTGGGGTAAGTCCCTAGTAATGCAATTGCTAGGTCATAAGGTTTTCAACTTTTTGAGGCACCTCCATACTGTTTTTCAGAGTGGCTGTACCAGCTCGCATTCCCACCAACAGTGTAAGAGGGTTCCCCTTTCTCCACATCCTTGCCATCATCTTTCATTTCCTGACTTGTTAATTTTAGCCATTCTGACCAGTGTGAGGTGGTATCTCATTGTGGTTTTGATTTGTATTTCCCTGATGTGGAGTGATGTTGAGCATCTTTTCATGTGTCTGTTGGCCATTTGTA